TTGGTTGGCAAACCCCCTCCACAAAAATCCAAAGGCAATCCTTCAACTGCTTCTGGTGAGCCATCATTTTAAAAAGAATGGAGGAATTATATGGGTGAATTTGGTCAGGGTCTTCCTTTGGAGCTTATGGTTATAAAGAAACAAGAGGATATTCAACGACACCCACCTTCCTTTTAACTTATTTTTTGACAGATTTTTTACTCCCCATTTATTAATTATAGTCTTAATGACTTGATAAATTGTTAGGCCTTTTCGTAATCCAATTTTAAGGGACCCTTTTGTATATTTCATACCATCAATGAAATATCAGTTTCTTATATATTAAAAAAAAATCGAGATCATCATTGCTTTTCATTGCAACGCTTAGTGGAAGAATAAGATTAGTGGTAATGTGCCTAAGGTTATTCAAGAAAATTTAGCAAACGCATGAACACAAATAGAAAAAGTTTCAATTTCTCTCTCTGTACAGTTAATTTTTCATTTAGAACTGTCTTTAAATGGCCTCGTGAATGAAAGTGTTCATTCATTTTTAAAAGTTGTGTTTCCTCCGTAGTAAGTAGCTCTTTGCTAATTTTTGCTTGTTTTCTTTGATGATTTGGATTTTAAAACTGTAGGCATCATATTTATGAGAAGCAAGGGGGTGTTAAATCAATTGAGCTGAAGGAGATCGGTCCTCGGTTTGAATTGCGATTGTATCAGGTACCTATTCTGTGATTCAGTTCATTGCTTTGTCCATAACATGCATTTCAGTTGGGCTTTCACAATATTGGAGAAAGCATTTTAGTAAACAAATATTAACGAGCACTCAATGGGTTCAAACGTTTTACTTGTAAGTATTTGATAAACAAACAAATTAACTAAGCAACCATGATCTATGTTTATAAGGTCAAAAAGACTTTGTTTATAATATTTTCTATCATCCTTTTGTGTTTTGTTGGACTATGCGATTTCGTTCAATTTCTCTGACACTAAAATTTCATTTGATAATGATTTTGTTTTTTGTTTTTCGTTTTCAAAAATCATGTTTGCTTCCTCACAATTGCTTTGGTATGCTACACATTTCTTTAAAAAATATTTGAATTCGTAGCTAAATTTTAAAAACAAAAATAAAATTTTAGAACTTAGATAATTTTTTTCTTTAGTTTTTAAAATTTGACTCAGATTTTGAAAATGTTTTTATAGAGTATATATCAAAGTAAGGAAATACATGAGTAGAAGTATGGTAGAATCCAAATGGCTAAAATAGATTGAAAGATAAAAAGATAGGACTACAATTATCTCCAAGTAATTTGACTGGACCCCCTCCCCTGTTGAGATTACTCAAGTCTAAACTAAACTGACCACCTTCATCCCTTTCCCGCAGTCTATTTATAACAAATCCCTTCTAACCAATTTCGTAACTAATTACTAACATACCCTTACTAGTCTACTAATATCCCTAATTACCCAAAAAATTCCTATCAAAGTAGTTTTTATAAACTTGATTTTCAAAAACAGAAAATCTAAAATGAAATGGTTATAAGCTCTTTTTTGTTTGCAGTTGTTCATACTTGATTTTGATTTTAAGTCTGGCAGGCTTTTCTGGTTTCTCATGCAGTACTAGACATCACCTGCAATTTTATCAAAGATTAAAAATAAATTGGTTACATCTCAACATTATCCTAGTACTATTAGTAATCTCAATTTTCATGTTGATGTTACAGTGAATTTTTTTTCGTATCATCTATAATATCAGAATTTTATGACATGATGAAGTCTATTATTAAAAAATAATCCAAACTATTTTGCTCTGGCCAATAAGATGGTTGTGTAATATAGATGTCTTCAGATTCTGACATTGTTAAATTTTCTCAGCATTCATAGAATATGGTTGTGTAATATGAAGATTGTTGCTCTAGCTTAATGCTTTTATTTTTGTTCACAAGATATAGGTTGTTCTGTGGATTAATTCTGAAATATCTGGATCTGATCATATTTTATTAAACTTTTATTTTTTCTTCATTCGTTTTTCGTCTTTTGATCCGTATCACCAGTCCTGCCTTGCCCGTGCTCATACGATTAGAACGAAACTTGCAGTTTTGTTGTGTCGGAGTATTGTTTCTCGGCTGGTAAGCCAATAATTATTTCAATGTGTATCTTAATTTCCCTTTCTGGTTTTCTTGGATGGTGGTTGCAGATCAAGTTAGGAACTGTTGATCAAACGGAAGCTCAGAATGAATGGGTGATTAGGCCATACATGAAAACAACCAAGAAACGCAAGTTTCTTGGTGATTGAGAAACAGCTAAAGTAAGCAGCTTATTTTCTTTTGCACAATCACATTGTTTTTCTAAAGGTTATATTTTGTTGGGTTGGCAATGCCAAATTTTCTCTAGATTATTGACAGATTTAGCTGAATCTTTATATTAGAAGTCAGTTTTCTTGGTGGAGAAGTAAAAGGGAACGAGTCTGACTTTTTGTATTCTTCACGTCCTAGATTACGTTTGAAAAACATGAAAGTTGGTGAAGGATTAAACAAAACACAGAATGAGAATGAGAATTATCATTCGAAAATACCAAATGAATGATTAGATTGGGTGAAGCCTCCATACTTACCCGTGTATGAGATTGTTTTTCTTTAATATCTTTACGTCTTATCGGTGTTTAAGATCAAAATAATAATTATTTCTAAGAATAAATTTCTTTATAATTACTAAACAAATATTACTTTGCAATTGATATACAAAACTTAGTGTGCTGGGTTGTACTATGCTTTGTGACACTAAATCTAGAAACTTTTGGAGAAAAGAATTGAGGAAAGAATGTGAAGCGTATGACTGACCCAAAAACAAAAGTCCCGTGAGGAAACTAAACAAAAGATCTAAAGAGATTTGATTCAGAACAATTAATGTTACAAAGAATTTCAATTTGAAAAATGTCCGACTCTTTAATTTAGGAACAAAGTCCAACAAAGGAACGAGTGATAATCAATGAATGAGAGAGAGAATTTGGTGGATGGATGTGCACGTATCATGTATGAGAGAGAAGAGAGAATAAATGTGGAAACTTGCTATAGAGAGAAAATAAGAAAATTTGGAATTTGGGATTTTTTTTAAGTACATCAATAGATCAATAGAGGGGTATCGAATGCATGATATTTTTAATAGAAATTTATATTTTAACCCATTGAGTTAGGAGGACGAATTTGGGGATTCATAAGAAAGATAAAAGATCATAAGTTAAGATTTCTCCGAATTAAGGGTTTAATTGATTGGTATATTTATTGTGTCGAATTTAAAATATATCAAAAAGAGATCTAGAATTAATTTTTTTTTTCTCTCTCTCTCTCTTCTTGCTCTTCTTTTGAGTTATTGCATAGTGAAGAGTGACCCATCAATCTTAGGATGATAATAGGTTCTTTTGTCTACTTTAACTTTGCTCGAATTGACCTCCAAAACTAGTTAATTAATAGTTAGAATTTTATTGTCTATGTACCCAATTAGTCAAAATATTATTTGTCAGAAGATATGAGTTTTGACATCCTGTTGCCAAAAAAATATATGTATATAAGTATTTAGATGGTTATTAATTTGAAATTCCAATACAAAAATAGAGAAAAAAGACTTTAGAAATGTAATTTACTTGACATATATCTCAAAAGAGTCTGTGAGTTCGATTCCTCGCCCCACACTAAAAATATATATATATATTCATTAACTTCACATAACAAAAGGTGTTAACGTATGACTCAACGATGACAATGGAGCATAGTTAAGACATTATTTTCGAGCAAAAAGTTGTAGATTCGGATCTTGACCTTGTATGTTTCACTTACAAAAAAGAAACATAGCTCGATCGAAAGTTCAAAATTTTGCACCCAATTGAATGTTTCCTTTTGATTGGATATCAAAGAGGCACGACACGTGTCGAAAAATTTTCAAAGTATAAAGTAGAACCTGTTTATGTTTGACTCTCAAAACGGCAACTAGCCTGAAAAATCTAAATTTGAGTTGCAACCAGAGAAGCACAAATCAAGAAAAGACTACTATCAAACAATGTGTTGAAAACAATAAGTAAGGCAAGCTCATAAAATTCTAATGATGCAATTGCAACGCAAACACACATGGATCATCTGAAAACACGAAGCGCGTGATTTACTCGAGTGAAGCCACCATCGACGAGGAGATTGTCTCCGCTGATGTACCTAGCCTCGTCGCTTGCTAAGAACAGCACGGCGTTGGCAACATCTTCGACCTCGAGCTGAACTCCCTGCAGATTAGCAATCTTTCCAGCAAACTCGCGAAAACCAACAAACACATCCTCAGTTCTCTCATCTTCGGGCAAGTGAGCTACAGCCAAGGCCGTTGGAACTGCGTAAGGGGAGACACAATTTACACGAATCCCGTGTTGTCCCAGCTCGGCTGCAACGCTCCTCGTAAGCCCGAGCACAGCGTGCTTGGAGCCTACGTAGTGATGAGGCCCTACTCCCGCCATCACGCTACCAACACTCGCTAGAGATATGATCGATCCTTGTTTGCGTGGAATCATTACATTGGCAGCATACTTCATTCCCACGAAAACTGCCTTCACGTTTATATCAAACACCCTCTCGAACTCCAACACATTGACGTTGCGGATATCGGAGCAGGGTGTGCCTGAGATCCCAGCATTGTTCACCATTATGTCAAGCGTGCCGAATTTACTCACTGTCGAGTCTACTGCACGACGTATGTCGTCTTCCATGGTGACATCACAATGGAAGTAACAAGTGTTCGCATTGTCGCCGAGGCTTTCGTTGAGATGCTGACCAAGCTCGTCCTGCACATCGACAAAGCAAACTTTTGCACCATGTCTGTGGAAGAGCCGCACAATGGCCTCTCCAATGCCAGAGGCTCCTCCGGTGACCAATGCCACTTTCCCCAACAACCTGAAAATGGTAAGAATCAATACTTCATATCAAATTCTACAACGTTTGATTCTGAAATACTTGCACATTCCCATACCAAATCTAAAAGAACACAATATATATCATCCCGAATCACGATAACGATGAATAAAAAGCTAGTCGATGGCACACTTGAAACCCAGTTAAATCCTTAGTTTAGCCCCAAGAGCTAAATCATAGAGCAAAAACATGTTGGTAAGAACATTTTCCAGAAATGACAATTGTTTCCCCATCTTAAACAGTATAATCTACTCCATTCGGGAACTCGAAAGCCGATCGTAAAGCTAAAATCGTATGGCCCCATACAAATCATATTTCTTCCAATACAGATTTTGAAGGCAATCAATCAAGACTATTATAAGAACAAAAACAGTAAAGCGAATTTTTATTAGTATTTCTCATACTACTTGGATTGTTATTCATAAATGTTCACCACTTTAATGAAAATGAGAAGAACGGTTGAAAAATGGGCTTAAAAAAGGGAAGAAAAAAACACTTTGAGAAAGGGAAAGTTTCATAAACATTCTGATTCTCCCTTTCGTTTGTTCTTTCCTTTCCCGTCGCGTTAATCCAATCAACATTTCACCCTCAACAGTAACAGCTTATTAGAATAAGAACTTTTCCGTAACAAGTGAGTTCAATCAACAGCAGTAAGATTCATCCCATGTTTGAAACAGAGCATGCAATTTAGGGAAGAAAAGGAGAGGAATTTGCATCACAGCTTCAAAATTCTCAAAAGGGTCAGAATAAATCTATGAGTAAAGTACAGAAGAAGAACAAAGATAGATCCATGGGACCTCAAAATTTGAACAGAGAGAATAAAGAAGAAAGATTAGGAAAGGAAAGGGAAATACCTTTGGGTTGGGAGAGAAGAAGATTCAGCAGAAGAAGGTGTAGCCATTGTTGCTCTGTTTCTCTCTCTTATCTCGATATATTTGGCAATGGAAGTGGAAGTGTCTAAAAGGCAGAAAACGACAGTTTGCATGTGACTCATAGTGAAATGGTCACAGGTATCGGATAATTTTTTAATGGGGTATGAAGAAATCTTTCATGCTTTCTTGGATATTTTTATGGGCCACAATAGGGTATTAACTGGGGCTGATCATCGGTCGGGGGTCGGTTTAACTGAACCCGACTTCAAAACCGACAGTTTCCCTCTGCAGTTTGGTATCAACTGGTCGATCGGATTTGTCGGTTTAACTAACAGTTTTTTAATTGTTGTTAAGAAATAAGAACTAAGAAAACTTCGAAAGATTGCATCGTCGATAAAAAATAGAAGAAAAGAAGATACCAGAAAGAAACAAAGATCTAAAATGATAAGGTAAGAAGAAAGGAAGAAGATGGAGAAGAAAGAAATCCTGAGGAGTGAAATCGGTGAGAGAGAAGATTTTGAGAGAGGGGAGGAAAGAGAGGGAGAGAGTAATAAATGAAAAGATAAATAAGTGATTAGGGGGCAATGAGAGATGAGGGAGGCAAGAGAAACCATTAAAATAATATAAAAAAATTGAATGGTTTCTAGAAAATCGTGAGTGTCATGTTTGAAAAGCGGGCATCTTTCCCAATCTAAATATAAATCGGTTGGTCGATCGGTTTTACCTTATCTGGAACCGGCGACCACCGACTGGTCGGTTTTACAACCCCGACCGATTTACAATTCATGTTTTCTTGGATATTTTTATGGGCCACAATAGGGTATTAACTGTAAGGGTGTTTTAGTCGTGTGTGCGTAAATTAGTTCAGATACTCGTAGATGTAACAATTTTTTAAGGTACTTTTTCAACGATATAAAAAATATTTGTCATATTTATAAACTTAAAAATGTTATTTTGTTTTATAAATGTGGTAAGATTTTTAAATTTTGATTTGATATTGCATAATATAAAGTATATTACTGATATAACTAATATACCTAAGATGAAGTGCACTAAATATATCACTGATAAATTTTTTTCGAGTTGAATATTTTTATTTAAGTAACATGGTATGTTTCTGTTTGATATATGAAGTATACCATTGATATTACCTATATATCTAAGTATTTTGCCATATTGAACCTATTGACAAAAATGAATTCATGCAAATGTAAAGTCTAACCACCAAGTGTCACGTCATCTATTTATAGTCAACTAACAATCAACTCAACTTGAGGGAATATTTAAAATTATTTCTTACCAAAGAGTGTCGTTTGTTGAATATTCAAAAACTAAGTTGAAATCATGGTTGCTTTTGAAATCTAAAGTTACTAATCATCTACCTAACGAGAGGAATCTGCTTCACCCCGTCTCCACTAGATCTATTCACGGGGTACCCTAAAAAAAGGAACGTTTCCTCTCCTAAGCCATTTGTCATTTCGGGTTAAGAAAATATGACACTGGGTTCGAACCGCATGGAACTGACATATGGGGGGATGCCTAATCCTTTTATCGCTGCAAGACTGGCTAATCATACGTAGTAGGCTCGAAGATCCCTAATTTTGAAAGGCACATGAGTCCGAACACTATGTTGAATGTGCGATTGACACTACACTAAGTAGGTACTTGTGCCGATGAGGCATTGATTGGTCAAGGAGACGAAAAGCTATGTGAAGTAAGAGAATAAAAGGTCGTTGGCTGCTACTAAGAACCTTGGGTTCTAAAACCCACTTGTGTAGATTCGGGGACTATTTGGCTATTAGTCCTTGATTTTTATATAATTTTATCCATGATATATGTTGCAACTATTTCCATTCATGCCATCCATATTGGTGAATACTAAAATTAGCCGATAGGAAACTTAAGTTACATGATACTTTGTGAATTGATATTTAAAAATTTAGAAGGCAAATTAAGAGACAACTTTTGTTTTTTAATTATTCCAAATTTCTGAAAAATATTAAATTGAAAATTTTTAAATAATATGTACAAATTAAAAATATCCCAACGTTAAAACTAAATCATATACTTATTTTTATTCTTATGCGGTGGCTCAATACTTTCTTTCTCTCTTTTTTTTTTTCTCCATTCTATTATGTAATCCTTCCTAAAATTGCAAAAACTCGTATTGAATTATAAAAATTGTTATCATCACTCTATCACTCTCTCAATTGGATCCATCACTTTCGTAAATTTATTACAACTAAACTCTTAAATATTGCAAAATACATAAATTATTTCTAGATTAAAAGTATCGCTACAATCAAACCTTTAAATTATTGACATATTTCAATTAAACTCAAAATTTTTACACCAATTTATTTTTAATAGAGACGTAGACTCAACCTAAGTTCTAAAATAACTTAAAAAAATTAAGTTAAATTATAACATAGTTTTTGAATATAATAACTTATATAGTTAGGGATAGTTTGTTTGATAACAATTTGTTAACTTAGCATGACTCAATTAAGAAATCTATCTCTGACAGATATTGTATTCGAAAAAATGGTAACAAGTTTATAAATTTAGAAGGGTGGTCCATCCAATAAAAAATTTCATGATTAATGGTTATTTTTTTTCCTCTTTCTTTCTTTAAAAAAATCTATAGCACAATTTTATAAATTTAAAAGGATGATGGATCCAATAAAAAATTTCAAGATTAATGGATAGTTTTTTTTCTTTCTTTAAAAAAATCTATTAGGTTTTACTAAGGGTGAACATGGGTCGGTTGGGGTCGGCTTTTGGCCAATTCCGATGCCAAAACCGACGTGGATCGAACACTTTTTTTTTACCTATCTGTACAAATCGACCTGAGGTCGGTCGATTTGATCAATTCTGAGAAGAAATAAGAGTGGATCAAAATGAGTGTCGTGTGAAAAAAAGAAATGGGATAAGAAAGAAAAGAGAGTGATAACGAAAAAGGAGAAAAAATAAATGAGATAAGAAAGAGAGAAATTGAAAAAGAAGGAATGACAATAAAGAGAAGAAAAGTGGGTAAAAAGGAAAAATATAGTAATAAACAAATCAAAGTAAATACTCATATATTTCACGTAAATCATGTGAAGATTTTTTTTTCCATTTACATTTTTGAATCCACGTGGCTTTATATTAACCATTCCCTCTTTCTTTTCAATTCATTTTTCCCTTTATTTTCCTCTCTTTTTCTTTCTCCTAACTCCTCTTTCTGAATTTCTCTCGTTTCTTCTTCTTTTGCATTCCATCTATTCTCCGTTACCATTTTCTCTCTTTTCTCTAATTCCTTTCTTGCAGCTCTCTCGTACAATGCTGGAATGAAATTTTATTATATATATATATTTTATTTAGTAAGTCGATGGGTCGGTTCCTTTGATATTAGAAGAGTCAATCAATCCACTGTTCATTTTTCACTATGAAAAATCGAAATAGACCGATTCATCTTATAAACCGACCGATCTACGTCGGTTCGATCGGATCGATTTTTCGGTCTTCTATGCTCACCCCTGACTGCCACAAATAGAAATCTGTCCCCATTGGTTTAATTTTCTGGCAATGGCTTCTGTTTCTCCTTCATGTCTTTCTTCCCTCAAAACCATATCCCCGTCGAAACATTCTCTCTTCATCTTCAGAAGCTCCAAGCAGCCATTTCCATCGAAATCTTTGAAGTTCTCATCATCTCCAAACCCACCAAATCCTGAAACTCCTCAACCCAATTCACCTGAAATTGTCTCTGATGCTGCACCGCCTCCTATCGACCCTGTCAAGCTCGCATTTGAGCGAGCGAAGGCCTACAGAAAATTGGCGCAACCGAACTCCAATTTGAAGTTCGAACAGGAACCGGGTGAGGGTTCTGAAGGAAACTCCGTCGGGACTGCTCAATCAGGTTTATCGAATTTCGATGGGGCTGATGAGCAGAGGAAAATGCAGGGTGGGGTTGAAATTGCGATGGAGAATGCCGACGAATATAAGGGTGAAACGAGGGATGCAATTGATGGAAAGAATAGTGGGGAAGTTTACACCAACCCAGGTAAATTTTGAAAATGTAGATTTGAATTGAGTGTTGGAGTTATTCTGAGTCGGTCAAAGTAGTAATGGGTAGTAGTTGGCACCTAGGTACGTCGTGAAACATGCTGTTATTCTGAATTGGACTGTGACATTTTATTGGAGAAATCTGATTTGTATAGTTTGTATTTAGATGTATGGAGGAGTTGTTTCGAAAGTTTGGATTTGTGTAGTTTGTATCTGATGATTTATGGTTTGAGAAAGTGTGGTTCATCCGATCGTAGCTCGGTGGATAAGACACCTATTACCATCCCATTATTCTCTGTAATTTTTGAAGTTCAAAAAGAACAGGCAAGTTCCAAAAGCTGAGTATATATAAGTTAGGATTATGTAGCTGGTAGGACTCATAAATTTATAGGGATTGGTAAACCCATGTAACAAACATAGCCTTGGTTTCTTAATGTCACACAACTCGTTAGCCTAGTATCTCGTTAATAGGTTGTGATTTTATTAATTCATTTTTCTGAAATTTAAGAGACGAACTATTTGGTTGTCATTTCTTATTTTCCCAGTGGATTTTTGTGTTCAACATGTTATGATATTATGATGGTCTTATATACTTTTTCCCGTGCATTATAAGGAAAGACTACCAACTAGTAACTTGAGTTGATATTAATGGTTAAAGTGATCTTCAGGATTGAAGGGAAGAGAAGGGCAAAAATTGGGAAACAAACACAAGGTTGATAAGAAGGGAGAGTTGTCTATCTCAAACATTGATTTTATGGGGCTTGGGTTTGCAGACAAGAAAAAGACCAGGGGAATGCCAGCTGGATTGGTTCCAGTTGCAGACCCCTTTTCAACAGAAGACTTGCCTGAAGTGGAAATAATTGTTGGTGATATGAGCAATTTTGACGATGAACCAGCAATGGAAACTAAACTAATTCAGGAAGATGATTCTGATCTTTACAAACCCAAGGTTTCTACATGGGGGGTCTTTCCTAGACCTGGCAACATTTCAAAAACGGTAAAAAATCTGCTTTTATAGTTCTTTTGGCTGGAATGATTCCCTTAGCCCCCTTCCATTAATTTTTTTTGTGGAAAATAATTATGTGCTTACTTCATCTCTTCAATAAATTATGTGTTAGTCCAAGTAGGGAAGCTAGCTCAGGGTTCATGAAGTACTTTTTCCATGTAAGTTGGAACACAAGAGAGGAAATAATGGAAGATTGTTGTTCCTTTTATGGTAGTTTGCTAATCTTTCTATTTTTAGCTGTACCCTTGTCTTCTAATCTATTAGTTTCTTTTAGTTTAAGTTTCAGTAAAGGAAATGACATTATAAACCCCTTTCTCTGATTAGAGGACTATATAAACCTGTAGGCTGTAAGAGATTATCTATTGCATTAGATGACCTCATAGGCTCATACATATGCAATTCCGGAACGGGTTTAACTTTTGACAATGAAGATTATCTTCACTTATACTTTGACCTGATGGAGAGAGAAGCTCTCTCCCTCTCTAGATTTTTTTGAACATGAATGCCATTCACACCTTGAATATTGCGTGTGAAAAATGTGTTACACCTCAAGATGGAGTGCAGCATCAAGGTTGTCTATCATGAACGAATAACAAAGTGCCATTGTTCACAATAAGAATATGTTACTCGGAAGAAGTACTGTATGATATATGCTAGAGGACTTAATAATGAGTGAACAACGAGGATGGAGCAGATGCATGCTATGCTAACATCATGCAGAAAGAACTGTAAATTCAACAAGTACTAATCAAGTTTATGTGACAACTTCTATATATGTTTGATTGATAATGATCATAGTGAAAGCTGCTTGAAAGGAAATTCTTCAATAATGGTGCAATGGGATTCTGATAGATTTCATTAATATATTTGTAGAAGTTTGGTATTTCCATGTTGTTGTAAATAAGACAACGTTCGTGAAGGCACAAAAACTCTTTTATTTCTTTTTCAGTTTGGAGGTGGAAGAACTATACGCCCTGGAGAGGTGCTTGAAACGGATGAAGAAAAAACTGCTAAGGAAGCACGCACAAGAGAACTAATTGCCGCATATAAGAAAAAATTTGGCTTGAGCATAGATGCAAAACTGAAGTCTGAATGTGAAGAGGTGAGGTTAATTAGAAAAAAAGCATTATTAACTTTTATTTGTTAGGTCTTTCTTCCACGACAAAGCTAGCATCCTTTAGTTCAACTTTGTGGCTTTCATTTGTCACATTTGTGATTTGATTTTTCAAACCACTCCTCCAAGCTTAAATATTGCAAAATATTATTACATATCAATTTGGTTTGTTGTCTACATATTGAAGTTGTCTTTCAGTACTTCCAATGTTGAGCACATTCTTATTAGCCTCTCACAATTACAGGCACTAAAGGAAGGCGATTTGTTGATGAGTGTTGGAAAACTCAGTGATGCCTTACCATATTATGAAACAATTATGGATAAACTGAATTTCCAGGTAGATTTTTTTTACCTTTTAAGTTTTTGAACAGCTTAGAAGAATATATTTGATTGAATACATTATAGAACTCACTCAAATATCTTTAACCAGCTTGCATGTCGGGCAATATGAATTTTCTTCCTTTGCTTAAACTGCAAACCTGATAGGTATAGATGTATCGGGTACTTTTATTTATGTAAAACAGAGAGCAAAGAGTGCCTAAGCACACCATACATAAGCTACCTAGCCAATTCGAGAGGGTTAGTTCTCTCCCACACATGATCCTACCAAAATTTCAGAAGCTCTCCTCACGTCCCTATGAAAAAGTATATCCCTCTCAGCTAACTAACTACATAGAGAATAATTCTCTACTTTTTTTTCCTTTCTAGATTAAACACTCAAAATAGGAGGCCTAACAAAAACCTAGTTTGTTCTCCGTTGGCCATCTAGCCGTCGGCCTAGATTCTCCTTTATAAATGAAGAACACTCTCAACAGGGGAGTCTCCATCTGCTGTGCTATTGCTTTATTGCACATTATGAATGTTTCTAGACTAAGTCGTAAATAAATCAGGTGTCTTTGATGTTAAATATATATACACACACAATTTTGATATACTTATTCATATGCTTTGTTTCTCCTATCCAAAAAAAATAAAGCTTTATTTCTTTCTTCTCTAAATATTTTTGCTTACTTGAAAATAATGTTTGTGCAGAGTGAGCTTCATGGAATTGCTGCTATGCAGTGGTCCATTTGTCAAGATTCCCTCAACAGGTACATACATAGTCTCGGAGTAAACTAAAAACCTTTATAATGCCCAAAAAGATAATGGATTTTGCATGTATGGTTAAACTTTTAGCTAAAGATTTTTCCCACATGCATATTCTTTTTCAGGCATCTCTCACTTTTCAGATGACAAATGTTGACTTTTTATCAAGTGGTTTTGTATTCTTACTCCAGCAATTTCACATAGCAAGGGTCATGCAGTCTATTAAATTAAAAAACATTGTCTAACAGTCAATTACTCCAGAAAATTCACAGAGCAAGAGTTAAGCAGTCTATTAGATTTCAACACATGTACTTTTCTAACAGTTTCAAGAATTAGAAATATCTTCTTACTCTTTCCCTCTGATTTTGATCCTATAAACATCCATTAAAATGAATGGTTGTTCCGGTACTGTAGTTCATAAAATCTCTAATTTGGAATAGAATGAAAATACAACTGGAAATATAAAAACTTGGTTCTAGATTTCTATTATTGTATTAATTAATTTCATTGCTTTGTTATCATGCACTAAATATTATGAATGCAAAAATGAAAATCAATGCAAGTATAAATACGAGGTTACATAAAATACAATTGAGATTTTGCTGCACTAAAAAAAAAAAAAAGAAAATTTAGATTTTTGTAGTTTGAACTATAATATATATGTAAAAAGGAGTTAGATATTTGTGGGCATACCAAACAAGGGAGGGAAAATTTAGTTAAAAAACTAAACACTGAACATAAACCCAGTAAATTGGTTGTTTGCCCGTTTATGATACGGGAGTTACAATGTGAAACAGGTCAAATGAGGCTCGAGAAATGTACGAGAAGCTTCAGTCTCATCCAAATCCTCGAGTGAGCAAGAAAGCAAGGCAATTCATGTTTAGTTTCCAGGTAATTAGCAATGTTTTTTTTTTCTAGATAAACCTGTTTACTATGACGTGAAAAATAAAATCATTAGATCTTCAATGCTTATACTGACTGACAAGGCAACTTCAAACTGCAAGGACATGGACGCTAATGCCTAGTCTTAACTCGTAACATGTGTACTTTGTGCAGTTTACTTTTTCTGACAACTAACGGTTCAAAGTTTGAAGTGCTTATTTTAACTACATTATTAGTATTTGAAGGGGTCTTTTCTGATAATTGTATGGATTCTGGACCTTCTAATGCACAGGCGATGGAAATGATGAAGGTAACGACAAGCTCATCTTTCCTTTCAAATAACAGTGGCTACCAGAGCTATTTTGAAGCTTTTCTTGAAAACAAACTTGACAACAGTATTAAGGATACTGGGATCGGGGAAGGTGTACTTAATCAATCTCTTCCCTACATCATTTTTCTTCTTTCTCCTATTCTTCTCGTGCTACTGGCTGCTGTACAAAAGAGAATATAAAATCATCCTGTATAATAGAGGTCACAACAAAATATAATGGGATTAGTATCCTTTGTATATATTGAAGCATTCTTTTATCATGTACAGAAGAGAATATAAAATCGTATAGTAATTAGTAATAGAGGTCAAAAAAAAATATAATGGGATTAATATCCTACGTTGTATGTATCAAAGTATTATTTTTAACCAATGGTAAGCTGATATTCTAACAGAGTCGACATCTTTTTTTCTTTGAACACTTGAAATTAGAAGTGATTTGTTGCTTACTATTTGAGTTCATAATAATGATAACATGAACTTAGTTTTGGATATTTGCGGATGTATATGGAACTGAAATGGTCTTGAGAAAGTGGGAGTTTGAGGAGGATCAAAGTAGCCACGTGTCACTGCTCTCTTTCACATCGGAGAAGATAAATTCAACTGTATTTTTTTGCTATTATTGAAGCTCTAACATTCATGTAGAATTGACGTAGAAGTCTGTGAAAATGCCAACATCACTGAAGCTGTTATTTGAAACTGGGTAATTAGCTGCTTATCGACTTGGCTATTCACTTGTCATACTTCACTGTGGTATCTGAGCCATCTCGACAAACATCAGTGTCATCTTCGTTTAACCAATCTGCACTCACTGCCCCAACCTCATCTCCTTCTAATGGTTCTCAAATTTCCTCTCCAATCTTCCTTGTGTACAATATTTGCAGCCTTGTTCCAGTCGGATTGGACTCATCCAACTTCGTTCTACCAATTTCAAGTTGAGTCAATCTTGAAGCAAGACGTTGTTCGGTGACATCTACAGCTCCACTGTAAGTTTTACTTCTGAAATTTATCCTGGCTATAGTAAGTAGATCAAGTAGGACTATGCTCCTATTACCTCGTTAATCAATGCCACCCCATCTCTCTCTATTATGTCAACAATCCATTAATTTCATAATCCATAATAGTTAGTTAATTTGGCAGCTGGGGGTTTTTTTTGGACAGGCCTGAGAGGTGGGGGACCCTTCAGCTAAGGTAGTTAGAATGAGTATAAAATAAATGATGTAAGCTGCAAAAAGTAGTCAGAAAAGTACTGATTTAACCTAGGAAGAGACTTGAACCTCTCGAATAGTCTGAGAACATGTATTTCCCCCATATTTGCTTACTCTCAGTTCAGCATATCACATTCAGAAGCACCAAGAGGATGACCTTTTAGAGTTTGAGTGGATAGACCCCCTCACATTTCCTTCACATAATAATACATCATGTGCTATGGATATGACAATGCATAAATATTATTTATAATATCAAGTGTACAACATTAGCCAGACTGTTTAAATCTGTATGTAACTTGAAATAATAACCCCTTTTCATTTATTCATAATGGATGATTCCAGAGAGATTTTTATTTTTACTTTTTTAATCTATTTTTAACCTCAAATTTTCTTTATTTTCATCTACAGGATAAGAAGTATCATACACAGGTCTTTTATATTTTCCTTTGTTTTTTCTTTTCCATTTACTTAGATCTTTTCCATGTCACTGGTTTTGTCATAATCCTTCTTTTCTTCTAATAAAGGGAAGGAAAAGTATCTTGTTCTTGTTTATTCCCCTTTCTATTTCTACATTTGTTTCTTCTTTGTTTTCTCCATTTTTCTCCTTCACTGAGGTTTCTTTTAATTTCCTAGTAACAGTGGATCATAGTATTCTGCTTTAAGTAGATGATATAGGTGATAAATAAGGGAATACCAAAGATTCGAACTATAAAATTTCTCAAGATTTTTCGAGAATCCGAAAAAAGTACCCTCATTTAGAATGATAAGTTGGATCCAATATTTGGTACAATGGGGGATAATTGAGATTTCAATAATAGATGGCAGCTATTAGTCCTAGACTTTTCAGCTGTATTTGGCCCACACCATACTGTTTTGTGGCCAAATATTATAGTTGTTAGAGCCACCTTCAACTTTATTTTTTGTCTAGACTTCCCATCTTCATTTGATATTCATTATTCCAGTTTTGGTGTGCCATTGGGATGGAGATTGAATCTTATGTCTAGACATTACTTAAGGGAATCCCTTTTTGTATAAAGTATTCTAACATTTGGATTTGCAATGCTAGAAACAAAAATTTCATAACCACTGCAATTTTAAATGCTTGCATATTATCATGAAAAGCCCAAAAACTAACCCCCCTTTTTTTTGGGTCTTTTGTGACCTTATATATTTTGTTTAGCACATGGAGGAGTTGGTAGACTTTCATGTTCTTTGCTGTCCTTGCTTGCTCTAAAGATTTCCCATTTTAAAATAAAGTCGGGCACATCACGGTTCCCACCATGATAGGAAAGTTTGAATCAATCTTTGTAATGGGATAAGACTCAAAAAGATCTATAGCAATCGAGCAACATTTAGAATTTGGAGTAGTATTTTTAAATGTAACATTCCTTTTTTCTATTGATACTAATGAAAAAAGGGAGAGGTTAAATACCGTTTTGGTCTTTGTATTTTGATAGTTATTCTACTTCTAAATGTTGAAATTAACTTCATGTACTTTCATACATTTTCAAAGTAGACCTGGTTGTTAGTTTGAGGATAGTTTTTGTTGATGCAGAATTATGGACATGTTGGCACGTTAGACATGAACTAAAGTGAGTTTTGAATTTGTCGGGTTGATGACTAGAAAATAGTACCTTGCACTGGTTTGGTGCTCAGCCATGTACATTCTAAAACTTAAATTAGAGCTTAATTCAAGCTAGTGTTGAGTCAAGTTTAGTAAGGTTGCGTTGAGATTGCGTACCTTTGTAAGGAGGGGAACTTGCCTTTTATAGGAGAGCTTTTGTAAGCTTAACCCTCCGTACTTGACGGTTATTGAAATTTTTACCGAAGATCAAGGATCATATGTCGGCACATTATCCATGTGAGTCCAAGTTGAGCTCGCGCTTTAGGGTTTTTAAAGATGTACAATAAAAATAATTCGTTTTTTATAAACTAAACCTATAGGAAAAATGTTGATATTTTGTAATGACAATGATAGAAGATATAGTCAAACTATAAGACTTGTAATTTTTAAAACGACAAAAATCAAATTGAAATTAAGTTTAAATCATAAACACTAATTTATTACATTAAAAATAGAAGATGTAAACATTAGTGATATTTAATCTAATGATGTATTCTAGACTCCATACTCTACATAGAAGGAAAATTGATTTAAATCCATTTATTAAATCCTTGATTTAATTTGTACTTCCTAATGAAAACCAAAAGGAAATCATTTGCTTTTATAAAAGAAAGAAAGACAGATGCTAATGAAATGATTGTATAAATTTTAGTGGTGATGGTTCCATTCATATTTCTTTCAGGTGGACCTAAAGTAAAAAGAAAAAGAAAGTAAAAAAAATAGAAAATAGAAAAGAAAAGAAAAGAATGGAAATGACATTTATCATTTCTTTTTCATTTTTGACAAAGTTAGAATATTAAAAGCCTAATTCTCTAATAATCAATCATATGTGTTTCATCCCTTAGTTGGTACAGTTGCTTCATTTGTCAATCATTAGGTTCATCAACTATCTAACCTATCTAAAATAATTTTCTTTTAATCATATACAAAATTTAATGACTAAAGTAAAATATTTAAAAATTGAAGAACTAAAATAAAGCATTTGAAAATTTAGGAATCAAAACGAAATAAATACAATAACTCAGGTAACAAAATAAGATTTAAATCTAAATATATTTTCTTTTATCAAAGTTTAATGATAAATATGGTCTCACCTAATACAAAGTGTTAACGTATCTAAAGAAATAGAATTAAATTCATCTTTTATTCTCAAAAAAATCTATGAAATTAAAATTTGAAGGGTAAACTTGACTCAATTAAGTTTTTAAATAAAAAGGCCCCACTCATCCTAAAATTAATTTTATTTTCTTTTACATGACATGACACATCAAACTTTGAAATTTTTTTAAATTTCTCATGCTTGTTTGCAATGATAAACTTCACTACAAATTTCTTTGAAATGACATATTTTATCTCAAATTAAAAACATAATTTAACGATCCAATCAGATAATGTAATTATTACTGCAGCTCTATAATTACATTATATTAAAATTTGAAATAAAAAGAAAAAGGAAAAAGAGTGAAACATGTGTGAAGTTTTGGTTATGCTTTTTGGCTTTAGCTTTTTGGCTGTTCATGTGAATGAAATATGATGGGGAACAGCATAATAACGTGGGATTACAAAGAGTATAATTTGGCAGTAATCAATGAGTTATACATTAATATTTCGAGAATACGGTGAAATATAACATTATCAACGTGGAAGTGAGGATTTGAATTTTCTAAAAAAAATGTAATTTATATTTTATAATTTTATGTGATCATAAAAAATATAATGATTTAAAGAGCAAAATGCGTAAAAGAAAAAATTTTGTTTTTTCAGTACAACATATAGAGGTGGAAAGTCGAACCTACAATATTTTGGTTGGAGTTCAAAAGAATTTTGTTTAAACTAGCTAATTAGCTCAATAATTAAGACATCTGACTCATTTTCTAGAGGTCAGAGGTTCAATTCTTAATCCCCACATTTGTACTAAAAAAACTAAGTAGCTAGGGAACGGTACTCAAGAACCTTTTTCAAAAATACTTTTATCTTTGCAAATAAAATTGCTCGTCAATCGCTCTTCAACTCCCAATCCACCGCCACTACAGGATTTACGTCTGAATTCGCGCGACGTGCAAAATGATGGATGTGTGTGGCTCACTCTCCCATGTTTATAAATCCAGAAGTAGATTTTATACACAATGCATGTATGTGATTTTGATAGCTCACCTTTAAACGAATAGTTCATATTATAACTAATTTGAGTGTCGAGTTTTTTTCTTCTTTTTTTTTACTCCTTTTGTAGGTCTCTTTGCAACTCGCCCTACCTCCTATCATAAAAGTGATCAGAATTCGGTTGAACCAATTTTAAGGGAGAGAAATTAAATAAAAACAATAAACTAATTGCCCACTTATTGGAATGGGAACCAGACATTCCTACAAATCCCATAATATGGGCATTTTCAAAAGGAATTATGTATTAATAAAGGTTCCATTTTGACCCAAAAAAAATATATATATATTTTTGAAAGGATTAATTTTTGCTCATGAGACACTTGATTTTTAAGATTTTTTGTCCCAAATGAAAGGCACAATTTGAATTAGCCCATTTTTGTAGAGATTGAATTGATCTTGCGAATCCATATTAGAATTGCAATTAATATTACGAAAAATCATTCAAAGTTAAAAAAATATTAAAATATTTGTTCAATCTAAAACATTTGAAAAATTTATCACCAAGTCTCACAGTCTACTAAAAAGGAAAATAATAATGATATTCAACTCATAGAGTTTCCATATTGGAATTAGGAAGTTATCTAAGACGTCTCGGAGGTCGAAATTTATAATTGTGGTTAGCTAAATTTTTAATGCAATCGAATTCTCTTTATCTAAGGAATTAGAATTGTACTCATTTAAAGAATACAAATTGCGGGATCTCGACCTGCTCTTATCTAAAAAATTTAAATTGCCATTTTCGAATTCCCTTCATCAAAGGAATTTAAAAGGGGAAGATAGTTTCCCCATATAAATAAAGAATAAATCACTTTTTGATATGCTTCACATTAAATCTCGATTCTAACTTAATCATATGTTGCTAGCACTCTTTCTATTTAGTAGATCTTGTCGAATTCCATTTTATTCTAGAAAATTAGTGTAAATTTTGATAGACCAAATTTATGCATCAACAAATATCAATAAAGGAAGAACGAGAATTCCACATTGGATCATAAAAGTGATAGAGCTAGTCAGGCCAAATAACGTGAAGGTGAGTAATACTTAATTTATGCCCACAGTTAATTCAATCTTAAATTATTATGTGGAACTATTAGAATCGAAGAATGACCCGCACAAACCTACCGTTAAGAAAAGAAAATAACAATTACAATATATATGTGTGTGTGTGCATACATACTTTGATTTGGAAGATTTTAATATGGGTTTTTGTCTCTTTCATGTTACACTATTCAAAGTTGACAAACTCGTGATCGGGGTTTGAGATTAGATAAATGAAGGGAAATAGAATCTAAATGAAAAAGGAAGCATATTGAATTATATATATATTTTGAAACTTTTAGATTATTATTATTATTATTATTATTATTATGGTGGAAAAGAAGGAAGGAGGGAAAGAGAGGAGGAGGAGGAGCGTGTATGTTTGTTAATGGGCCAGAGGCCCAGAAGTAGGGCCCACGGGGCAGCCCACTAAAGCCGACCACTCGGATTTCTTTTGGAAAGGCGGCACCGGCCACGCCCACGCTGCTCACGCTCTTCCATTATGGTTGGTTCCTTCGTCAACAGTGGAATATATTGCGCAAAAAGCATGACACGTTTCCATTTTTCTTTTCCTCGTATGAAATGACCATAATACCCCTATTCCTTGTTTTTTCTCCCTCTTTCTCACCATCCCTGCCTGCTTTTCTTTTAACTTGGTATGATATTAAATATTTGTCGACATGTCGATATTTTTATTAACTATCTATGAGTTGGATATCAATATAAAGGGTAAATCGACATTTCTATAATATTACAAAAAAAAAAAAAAAATCGACAAAATCTCATTAATTATTTTTGACTTATTTAACAATAATTTTTAACTTATTTAGAAATGATGAAAGGTTTAATGGTTAATTTAGATTGTTTTTATGAATTTTTATTTTTATACTTTTTTTAGAAATATCTTGACATATACATTTTATCGATATTTTTATCGACATTTCTATGAAATTGATACCTCGACATTTTCATCGACGTCGATATTTCAAATCATGGTTTTGACAAGTTTTTATCTTCCATCGTATTTGAATTTAAGGCCTTAAGACTCTTTTATTTGAGGTCATAGGTTTGAATCCTCGTACTCCCATATTTATTGTTAAAAAAGAAAAAAAAATCCCTATTCCACCATGGCTTGAACTAAATTAATATATAGTCATGCCATCATATTGGTACATGTAATACGACATAACACCGCCTAACAATTCAACTGACATTATTGAATATCTTTTATGCATCCGTTACAGTTTACTCCCAGTTTATACATATATAAACACTTATGTATAGTGTTGGATTTGTAAGAGAATGCAAATAAAATCTCAAAGATTAGGGGAAGGCGTAATCTATGGATAAATATCTTCATTGATATATAATTATGTACCAAAGAGAGATAATCGTAAAAGCAAAACGAATTATAATCCAATTTTGTAGATAAGACATTTATTACTTCGTTAAGTCAGAATCCTCTCCTTAGCGCCAAAAGAAACAAAAACATTGTAAACAAAAATCGACCATATGAATAAAAAATAAATATTCATTGGTTTATGTTTATCTTTAAAAATAAAATAAGTGACGTCATTATTTAAGTTCTTGGCGGTATTTGAAAAGAAARAAAGGAATGGCCTAACCGATGAGCATGAGTTGAATTTCTTGAAAGAGAAGGAAGAAGAAAACCAGTCATCGCCAAATCTTAAGAGTTGAAAACCCATGAGCACAAATACAATTAATTATACAATTCAAACTACTCCCCCTGCCATTTTTTACAGCTTAATCTTCTCTCTCCCTCCTTCAAATTTCATCTCCTAAAGCATCAAGACACAGAAATCCACCCACTGTTTCTCCCAAAGCATCCCAAATTGGACGAGAATCTTTGCTTTCTCTTTGCTTTTCACGAATCTTCCTTCTCCCCTGACTTTTCCCCTTCCCCTGAGGAAAGGGTATTGGGTTTCTTCTTCCTGCCTTCGTAGAGAAGAAACGATCGTCCAGATCAAACCCACTTTGTCAATTTCTGTTTTGGTGGTTTTTTTGCTCTGGGGAAATGGTTCAGAGAACGGCGGCGGGCAAATATGGAGTTCAAAGTGAAGGTGTTAAAGGGGAGCGGAGGGTTGCGAGCTTTAAACCCACTTCTTCTTCTTCTCAGAACACGGATGGCAAAAACAGAGCAGCTGATTTGAAGAAGAAGATGAAGAAATCACGAGCCATCCAGCTTTCGGATTTTGAGAGCTTCACTTCGTCGCAGACTAGGAAGAACGTAACTCTGCCTGGTAAACCACCGCCTTCTTCTAATGTTTCAGAAATCAAACAGAAGCAGTCGCAGCAGAACCAGGCATCTGTGGTCAGAACCAGCGATGGCTCGCCCAATTACATGAAATCGACGAGCTGTTTCGATGCAAGGAAAGAGGTTTCGCAGGTCAGTGCTCGAAATTCTCGAATTAGTTATGATAATAAGAAACCCAGGAGAAGAAATTTAGAGAACTCAGCTCATGGGTCTGTCTCTGGCCTTAAGCCTACCAAGTGCTTGACGAAATGCTCCAGTAAGAAATTGGTTAGGACTTTGACGAAAACGCCAAGTTTTAAAAAGTCTTCGAGGGTGGCTCTGTGTGCTGACATGAACTCTAACAGAGCTACCTGTTCTTCCACTCTCAAGGACTCTAAATTTCCAGCATACCTCATGCTGAGTCCTGGGGCTACTGAGTCTGAAGGAACTTCAGCCATGAAGGTTTGTCCTTACAGTTATTGCTCGCTTAATGGCCATAGACATGCTCCTCTGCCTCCATTGAAGTGTTTCTTGTCGGCAAGAAGACGTTTGTTGAAGACCCAGAAGAATCTAAAAGTAGAGCCATCTGGTTGCGGAGTCAAAGAGGTTGATGCTGGTGGGAAAGTAGTGGATGAAGAAATGGCCACAGAGGTTTTGATAACCGATGGTGGGTTGGATTTTTTCATTGAAATTTATGCTGAAAATATGGCTGATGGTGCTGGATCAATTGATCAAGAAAGGGTAGCGGATGGCGATTGCACTTGTGTTACTTCTTTTACGGTGAACAATGAGGTGGAATCAAGTAATGAAGAGGACGACAAACTAGTTTCAGAGAAGATCTCTGATGTATCCATGGTCTCCGAGCTTTGTTTGAGTGAAGAAGTAACTGGAGGTATGTTCGGCCATGGGAATGAGTACGAGGACGATGCTGGTTCGACAGATACTGAGATGGAAGAGTGGGAAGAGCGGCAGTTTTTGAGCATGGAAGGCGATGATTTGGATGGGCTTGAAGATCAATTGAATGCCGAAACGGTGTGTTTATCAGATGAGACTCGATTGCAGGATGGAGAACTCGTTGGATATGGTCAGGTTGTCAAAGATTGTAAAGGGGTGTTTTCCAAAACAGAGAAAGAATTCTATGAAGGAAGTGGAGACTTTGAAGAACAGTTCTATACTGAGGATTCTGAGTTGAATCGCCATCCGGATTGGGAAGTGGAAGAGGCTAGTCAAGTGTCTGAGAGCTTAAGTTATGATCAACTTTCTTATTCAGAGGATGCATTTGATGAGATGGGTGCTACACAAACTATGGTTGAGAGAGCCGAGATAGAATATTTGGAGCTGATTCTGAATTCTGAACTGGAATCTGAAGTTATAGAAACTGACTGTGTAACTCGGGCAACAGAGGAAGCTTCAAATAAGGTACAGGAAAATCAAGATCTTCAAGTTGATGGTACCAGCCCAAACGAGTCAACAGGCAGCGGAGATTGTGTCGAAACCAATGAAGGATACTGCAGGATGGAGGAAGAAGTTTTCCTGTTCGATTGCCAACTCCCCGACCATGATCTTGTATTGCAAGAGGAAATACTCGATGCCGATATCGATAATCAAATGGAAAAGGAAGAACAACTTGATGATGCAAACCATGGAGCAGAGGTTTCTGAGGATGAAATTTCTGGTCAAGAAAATGCTAATATATGCCTAGAAGATTACTTGTCTCATGGACAATGCCAAGATATCTCTGCTAATGGAAACAGAAATTCTGTTGCTGAACAAGATGAAATTGAGTCTTCCACAGTCATGGAAATGACGGGTATCGAGGGGCCGAGTGATTTGAAGACAGATAAAACCTGTTTGAACGATAATAGCATTGCACAGGTCGACATTATGGATGGAAAAGATAGAGCAGATTCATCACTAAAAGCACCAAAAAGATCATCCCGTACCGCAATTGATTCCGGTCTAGAACTGGATCTCTCTATCAAGAAGTGGGAAGGCAATACGAAATGCAGGAGGCTTGGAGATGAATTAGAAGATCCAAGGAACTTCAATCCACGAGAACCGAATTACTTGCCGTTGGTGCCAGACCCGGAAGCAGAAAAGGTGGATCTCAAGCATCAGCTGATGGATGACAGGAAAAATACAGAAGAATGGATGCTTGATTATGCACTCCAACGAACCGTCACAAAACTCGCACCAGCCAAAAAGAAGAAGGTGGCGCTTCTTGTCGAGGCTTTTGAATCAGTCATGCCAACCTCCAAATGCGAAATCCATCTCCGGAATAATACTTCAGGAGCTTTTACTCCAGCAAAACACATTCAAGCTTGTTTCTAATGGTAGTAGCAGAGGTAAACCTCCAAACACCATCTTGCCAAGTTCATTTATTTCATAACTTGTTTGACCACTTAAATTAAAGAATTCAAAAAGGAAAAATTGTCATTCTAGAAGAAAGTTTGTAGCAGAAGATCAACAGCAGCAACTTGCTTGTGTGTTTAGGATGTTAGAGAAGCAAGATTAACTAATTTCGAGGTCTAATAGAAGTGTGAAAAATACTAGCTGAAGTATCATCGGCGATACGTAAGACGAAGAATGAGTGGCAGGAAGTTCATCTTGGCTTCCACACATCCCTGTTGGTGAACTGCAAGTTTGAGAGTCTGTCATTCTGTGTGTTCAAAGGGCATGAGAGAGAGAGAGAGAGTTCAGTAATGTGTGATGTCTGTAATTACAGTGTAAGCTATGATGTCAGTTTCTTCAAAGGATGTAATTTATGTACGCTTGTAATGAAGGTGTATTATCAAAACCTTCAAACTCTACTAATCTCATGACCTTTTTTTTTGTCTCTTTTTTAATTCTCTTCTTCTCCCGAGTTTCAGTTCGAGTTTCTATGAGTTTGAATCGAATCGGTCTGATGATCAGACTCTATAGTCCTAACAAGTGACATATCAATATACGACTTAACACCTCGATCCATACGAAGAAAACTTTAGAGCACAAGTGTGTGATACAATAATTTTTGCATACTACACCTAAGAAGATTAGAAAATAAGAGGCAAGTCATTTGACAATCACAGTTCCATCCAGATATGGCAATCTTATTTTTTGCCCCATGTGCCAAGATAGTTGTCAATGTCACTAAAGGCAAAGAATATGTACTAGCAAGTAACTTTCAATAAAGGAAAATGGATTAGTGATAGATTTGCATAACTGATTGACAAAATCTTAGCCTCTGAATCATTCAGATGCTATGAAGTAAATGGATGATGGGGAAAAAATGAAGGTAACAAAGAATTTTAGAGGTCTACGTTGTGATAAAAATCGACCATATGGAGAAAGATCAAAGCATGATAAGAGGTAGGATAAAAGTTAGGTTTAACGGTGTAACTCTCATGACTTTGGCTCTTTTTTATGAGCTCGACATCAATTACTAATTTACTAGAAATAGTAACTAGAAATAGTAAAAAGAGAGTTGTTTTTCGTCTAATTTTATGAACTCACTCTTTTTGTAATTTATTATTATATTTTGTAGGTTAAAAAATATTTTTGTTTTTTATTTTATTGAAGTAACAATTTAGTCTCTAAATTTTAGTACGTAAGAACTTAGTTTCAGTTCGATGAAAAGGAGCAGAATAATCATACATGACAACAAAGTGGCTGAAGCTACCGTGTCTGATTTCTTGGGTAATTTTCATTTTATTTGTTAACTTTCTATTTAAATACTATTTTTGTCTCTGAATTTTTTTGCTTCAGTTCATCTTGTTTATTGTATTTTTAAAATATTAATTTGGTCTATGTATTTGCACAATGTCCATTTAATCATTGTACTTCTAAAAAGTGACTATTTCGGTCCATATTTGTAGAACTTTAATACAAATTTTCTATACAATTAAAATCATTTAATACAATTTTTTTTTGAATTCTCAAATCCTTTGAATTCATTTTTATAGATTTGTTGGACAAATTTTCTCCATTTTCTCTCTCTTTCTTACAATTTCTCACTCCCATTCTTTTTCTCTCATCTTCTTTATTTTCTTCTCAACTTGAAGAAGAGTAGTGCAACCTCAATTTTTTTTTTCAATTTTCTTCATCTCCATTATGTTTTTAAACTTTATGCAACTCAAGTTTATTCAATGAAAAATGAATCCGTTTAAATTGCATAACATTTCTCTTCTATCGTTTCGTTCTATACCTTACTATCTTCTAATTTTAGATGGAAGCTTTCTGCAATTTGTTGTTCATAGTGGTAGGGAGTGGAAAAAAATGGGAAAAGTTATCCAACTAATATAAAAAAAGAATTCAAAGAGATTTTGGGAGATTTTCGTCCGATTATGAGATTTAATAAAATAATTAAAAAAAGCAACAACCAACACTTGTCTTGTTTTTTATAGGACCACGTGAGGGTAAGGAGCACAATGCTCCTCACCGGTGAGGAGCGAAATTTTTTCCATTAAATATTTAACAACTAAGACAAATATATATAAAAAAAAGAGAGTTTTTTTTTTTTTAAAAAAATAATGAGAGTTTTTATCTTTTCAATAATGATGAGGACAAGATTTGGTCATGGCTCGAAGAAGTATTTTCCTTTAAATAGTCTTCTGCTTCCAACTTTGGTTAATTTAAATCATTATATTTATTAAACAATAGTTTGGTCGATTTACTTTAAAAAATGATGATTTTGGTTTCTTCATTTTTATTCGCATATCTTACCCACAAAATTTTTTTAAAAACGTAACCACAAATTCATAATAAATTGGATTTCGATTGCGTATAAAATTTATATTAAAGTTTTAAAAATATAAATCAAAATGATCCCTTTTAAAAAATATGAAATTACAAAGCTGAAATCAAACATGAAAATGAACCAAACATAAACCAAAATAGTATTTAACGAGAGAGAGAGAAAAAAATGAAGAATTGATGAAAATGAAGATTTTGATTGAAGCGAGTAAAGGGGATTTGGATGGTGGTTTAAATTTGCTAAATATAAGAAGAAGAAGAAAAAAACTGAAGACGAACAGTCTCACAAGCTTCTGCTTATAGAACCCTAACCAATCAATGCTGTTAGCCTGTTACAAACAAAACGCCACAAATTCTTGGTTTGTTTTCTTTACCTGAAAAACCCTGCAAATTTCATCCCTCTCTCATTCTGCTCATGTTTCACCTTAATAATCTTCCGTATAAACCTGCAAAAATCCCCATCCATCGCCATAACTTGCAGCTGCGGAGGAGGAGGAGAAGGAGAAGGAGGAGCCCTTTCGGAAATTATGGATACCAATTACACCATTTACGATGAGATTATGACTACGGAGAGTGGCAATTTCATCACCTTCTGCTTGACTTTGCCTCCCAAGATAAATTCCCATGGCATTTGGGATAGTGTTCTCGGGCATTCGAATGTTGAGAGGCCTACTCCACTCCCATTGTTGGAGCTTCAGATGCTCACGATTTTTTGTGTCACCATGCTCCTCCATTTCTTCCTCCAGCTCCTTGGCCTCCCTGTTTTTGTCTCCCAAATGATCGTACGTTTTCTTTTTTCTTTTTCCTGCATTTTGTTATATTTCTCCCCCTGTTTCGTATTATACGTGAATACTATTTTTTAGGGAAGAAATCAAGAGGTGAATCAATATTTAGAGTTGGAATATTGTAGAAATTGATGAGTTTTGGGAGATTTATTTGATAGTTGATTTTCTGCATTGGTTGGGCATGTGATAATTTTTTGTCTGCTTTTTGCTCAAAATTAGTGGGCGAAGTTGAACAAAGGGTAAAAATAATTGCAACGCTTGTTTAAGATAGGAGAGTGTGTAAGTTGAAGAAGAATTGCAACACTTGTTTTAAGCCCAAGGTTCAGTTTGATGACATTAAAAGTTTGGGGCAAAAATTGCTTAACCTTGCTAAGTTTATGAGAAAAATACTGCATGATCAATGTACTAGGATTTGTGAATTAGATTAGGCCAGATTTTAGGAACTGCCAGAAAATATTGAATACTTTAAGCTAACAGTTTAAGCTTTTGGATCAAGAGATGATTTAGCTTTTCCTTTTTCTCTGCTTCTTTTGTGGGCACTTTGTTACCAGGCTGGCTTGATTCTTGGATCATCATGGAGGGGAAACTCCGAGTCATTTGACAAATTCAAAGATTTTCTATTTTCCATTGGATCCCAAGAGATCTTGGGCATGGTGACGGGATTCGGTTACACACTTTTTGTTTTCCTTATTGGAGTTAGGATGGATTTAGGTGTGGTTAAGAGATCAGGGAGACAAACATTGATAACTGGTGTTTTGTCAATAATTGTTCCTGCACTACTTGGCTTGATGGCAGCAGTTGGTCTCTCGAGATTTGGGGAGGAGGATGAGGCTGCTAACCTGGAGTTTATAGCAGCAAACCAATCCTACACTTCATTTGCAGTTGTGGTTTCCCTGCTTGAACACCTTAAGATTCTGAATTCTGAAGTTGGTAGATTGGTGCTTTCTTCTTCAATAGTAGCTGATATGGTAGGCCTGAGTTTCTCATTCATTGTTAGTGTGGTCGAAAATGTCCACAGCCATGGCGTTTTTGGTGCTTCAATTGGTTTTATTTTTACAATTTTGTCTGTTGTCATTGTTCTGTTTGTCTTTCGGCCTGTGATGCTTTGGATTGTCAGATCCACACCACATGGGAGACCTGTGCAGGATGGATACATATGTCTCATCATTCTATTGGTGCTTGTATCTAGTGTAACTTCCAACATCATGGGACGAACTATTTATTCTGGGCCATTTCTCTTGGGTTTGGTTGTGCCTGAAGGACCACCATTAGGAGCCAGCCTAGTGAATAAACTCGATGGCATTATTACGTCAGTTTTCATACCACTCTTTATCACCATCGCGGTGATTAAGGCTGATCTTTCGTTTATCAACTACAGTGGCTTATTTTTGGCTAAGTCTATGACTGTGATCTTAATAACCATTATGGGGAAAATGGCTGTGTGTGTTGGTACTTCTCTGTATTTCAAGATGTCTTCTTATGATGCCTTGGCATTTGGCCTCATAATGAGCAGCAAAGGCATTGTAGAGCTTGCTGCCTCCTCCTACTTTTATGACAGCAAGGTAAGGCCTTAACAGAATATAGACTTTTATAGATGTGGCGATGAACTAAAAAGTAACTTTTAGTTGGTTTGTTATGAAAATTTGCAGGTTCTGAGTCACCAAACTTTTGCAGTGTTGGTTGTTGATATTTTGATTATCTCGATTTTGATGCCGATGCTTGTGAAATGGATCTATGATCCTTCAAGAAAATATATTGGCTATCAGAAAAGGAACATTCTCAATTTGAAGCCTAACGCCGAGCTGAGTGTATTGGGGTGCCTTCATACACAGAATGACGTACCTGTCTTGCTCAACCTTATCGATGCCTCGTGCCCGACTGAGGACTCTCCCATTTCCCTGTATGCTCTTCACGTTGAAGAATTGGTTGGTCGGGCCACCCCGGTTTTCATTTCGCACGAACTTCAAGACCAAAAGGGTTCCTACAAGGAGTTGCTCTCAGGTAATATAATCCAGATGCTTCGCAAGTATGAGAGGAACAATCGAGATGTTGTATCGATTGAGGTATTCACAGCAATCGCCCCAATGAAGCTAATGCATGAGGACATATGCACTTTAGCAGCTAGGAAACTCACTTCTCTGATAATCCTTCCATTTCATCGAAAATGGACAAAAGAAGGATACATTGAATCAGAGGATAACAATATCAGGGCCTTAAATTGTCACGTCCTAGATCGGGCACCCTGCTCCGTGGGAATCCTCATCGACCGTGGCAATCTTACCAGCTCTCTTCCATTTGGACATTCACGTACACCATCACTCCAAGTTGCAATGATTTTCATCGGCGGCCCAGACGATAGAGAAGCATTCTCGTTTGCCASACGCATGGTCAAAGATCTGAGCATCGCACAACTCACGGTGATACGCCTACTCGCAGAAGACGAGAGCGTAAGCCATTGGGAGAAGGTTCTGGACACAGAACTGCTGAACGACATGAAGCACAGTTTCGTCGGGGGCGAACGGTTTGCGTACTTGGAAAGGAGAGCAGATGAGGGGTCGGAGACGGCAGCAATAGTGAGATCCGTCTGCGACGAATATGATCTTATAATAGTTGGAAGAAGAGATGGGGTTGAATCACCACAGACTTCAGGTTTGATGGAATGGAATGAGTTTCCGGAACTTGGAATTGTTGGGGACATGCTTGCTTCTGCTGATTCAGATTGTAGAGCCTCCACCTTGGTGGTTCAACAGCAGCAACAATGGATATATAAGCTATGATTTTCATTTATTGCATCATTTCTTTTCTTTTTCTTTTGGGTGTGTTTAATTGTATCATAGTTTTAGGGACATTATTTTGAAGTTATTGTGCTATGAAAATCCTCCAGAAATGAGGACAAGCAGTTGTTAAAGCCATGAACTAAGTCTTTTCTTGAATGATTGGGGGAGGCTTTTTTATTTTCTTCTTTTTTTTTTCTGGGTATATATTCAAATAAATCTTCAAGAGTCTAGAAAGATGGGTGCATTTGGTTAGCAGATTTCCAGATTTCGCAATTGAATATCAATTTAAAAAAATTGTTCAAGGTTTGTTTAGCAAAATATATTTGGAAATTAGGAGTAGTTACAAACTAAATTTTAATTTAATCTAAATTTATATTAATTAATTTATTAACATTTTTTTATGAATTTTATATGATTATTATTTTACAATATTATATAATTTAGAATACATTAGAGTTAATAATGAAGTAATATATTTTATTAAAGTTTTTATCTTTTTAATGTAATTATGTCTCTTAAAAATTTCAAATTCTGAATCTGAAAGCACTGAAAACATAATTCTACCAAACGTCTATTTTATCTAATTTCAATATAGCCTAATTTACAATAGGAGAAAATTTGGTTGCACACAAATCTCATAGCGGAGATCAGAAGATTGAGTTATCTTTCATGAGAAAAGCCCGAATTAAAAAGGGAAAAAAATAAAATAAAATCAAAACAATCACCAAAGCTACTCAAAAAACCAAATAAAAAATCATTACTAGGAGACACAAATCATAGACGGATAAGATGAGAAAATATTACCCTTATTTTAAAGTTATCATCATATTTGGAGTGATTTTAATATAGTCAAAATTATTTTAATCATTTTTCCAAAATTATATTGATATAAAACATTAGAACAGATTTAAAATAGTAATTTTTTACAATGATATACCGTCTTCTTCGAATTATAACCAACAAAGATCATTTCGTGATATTTTTCAATAGACCTTTGGGAGGGCAAGCCTCAACCTTACCCAACCCACATTGGTTTATTTAAAAAAAACAAAAGAAAAAGAATAGTTTTCTTTTATATTTAAAGAAACAAATATTGCGTTATTTTTGTAAAAATGAAACCTGCTATAAATATTTAAAAATACATAATTCATTTTGCTATTGACTAAAATTTCTGAAAAAAAAAAAAATTGAAGCATGCACCACGTTATTAAGATATTAGATCATGTGCCAGCATGTGCAAATCTGTAAATAACAACTAATCTGATTTTTCTCTAAAAGA